CAAGAATAATAATGTTTAGAAAGGAAGGTTCTTGGGAGACATCATATTTCTATAGACTAAAGTCTCTTAATATTTTAACTATCGAAGATGCATTTAAAGTTCAGAAACTTGTACAAGGTTTTAAGATTTTAAAAGGTTTTTGTCCTCCTTCATTTTCTCAGTATGTAAATAGTAGTCAAAGAGGTAGACTCTGTTTATGTTATATTCCCACAACTATGGGAACAATTACAAAACAGAAATTCAAAATTATTAATCAATTTCATTATTTAAGTCTGCTCTTACAAAACATCTTCTTTCAATGTATTAATTAACTAATTTTAATTTAAATTTTTAGTATCTAAGTTTAAATTTGTTATTTTTATTTTGTGTTCTATGGAGCGAGTACATTGATTGTTTGGGCTTTCGCCTATTCTCGCATCCTGGCTAAATTGTTCTTTTATGTCGAATAAACATTATTATAAATTATGTTTTTTTTTACAAACAAATAACCAAAGCTAAAGTCTGCCAAGTGAAATTAAACCATGAGCAAAAGCATTGACACATGAGTATGATAGGTATGTTTTTGACCATAAATATTTACCGATTTTAATTTGCTCACTTTGTTTGGTATTTATTTTAATATGTTTATTAGTGGTATCTAAGTTTAATTAAGTATGCTTTATTTGGGGTCAAATCATAATACATAAACCTATAATCGAATGTGTAAAAAGGCATTCAAATATGCCCCTGCCCAGGGCCCTCCGGCCCCTTTGTTAAGCCACTGATGGTAATGACTGAATATTCCTATCTCACCTTATTCCTGCGGAAGTTCTCAACAACACCCCTCAACCTCTCTCCAACTGGAACGTAGTTAAATCTTGCATTACAGACCTCGCATTGGCGATGCCCAGAGATGTGAATCCACTTCACGAGACACTGACGATGAATACTACCAGCAGAACCTGTACACCGGCACGGGTTGATCAATGGATTCTTTGGTGAAGTTTCGGCTTCGAAACAGACTCGACAATAATTCCCATTTTCGCTTCCTGATTGTGAGATGTGTACTGACGGTACAGTTGAGACGAGAGATGAGGTTTCACTCATTTCGCCTCTCGCTTTGGTAGCCCTAGCTTGTGTTTCAATTGGTATGGGAATGTCTGTTGTCTGACTCTGGGGTTTATAACCGCTAATACTAGGCCCGAGACCTGGCGAGTTTTCTCCACTACTGAGACTTTCGTTCCCAGTTGGCCCTTGTATAGAATCAATGCACGTATTCTGTACATTTATCAGAATGTTTACGTTTCTAGATTCTAAGGAGACCTGCTCCCGTTGTTGTGAGTCCATCGTGTTCATTTCACCTTCGACAGTAGCGATGGGAATTCCCGGTGGTCTGGAGGAAGATGAAACGCTCTGCGACCCATCTACTAGCATCTTTAACCTGCCAAAGAAAGAAATTAGGTTAGTGTAAGGAATACAAATGTCATACCTTCATAGAGAAAAGCATACTCATCCTTAAAAGTTCATAATTTAAAATAATAATTTATTTTAATTGGGTCTAGGTTCCACTGCTATTTCATAAATGAAATGTGTGACCAAAACTATTTGAGGCATGTTGTGGCAAAATGGCTAAGTTGTAGCAAAAATTGAAAATCAAGTTATTG